GAGCCTAATCGTTCAACTTTCTGTCCTTTTCTCGAGCGACGGTCCCGCCTTCGTAGTTTATAAATTGTTCTGATCTATTGAAATACGAGGCAGCGTCACCTGTTGCAGAACGCGAACGCGTACTCGCGGCCGTACGCGGTGGAGAACCGGCAGATCATCATGACGGACTACATCACGTCGCAGCAGATGCACGGCGCGGGCCGGCGCGCGCCCCCGCCCGAGCGGCAGGCCGTGGGGGGCGCGGGGGGCGCGGCGGCCGCGGCCGACCGCGCGCCCAGTCCGCAGTACTCGCCGCAGCCCCGCAGGGACCAGCCGTCCGTCATCCAGAGGCACGTCTACACGCACCCGCACTCGCATCCGCCGCCAGGTCAGTCCGCGACTTTCTTTTTGGGAACCACGTGTTATCTGGAGTTTAAAATATTGTTATTTTTAGTTGGGTTCAAAAAAAGTTGTGTATGTTACGCGATTTTGGTGATTCTTTTTTTTTTTTGTTGGAAAGAGGGTACCTCAATATTGATCCCATTTAAATTTGAAGAAAATATTTCACTTCTAAGCATTGACTTACAAATAAATGGACGACGGGTCTAATACAAAAACCACGAAAAAAATGTCCCAAGTCAACCTATTCGAAATTTAAATTGTTATGTCATCGCAGTATCGCGCTGTCCGTAGAACAAATGAAGACTAAAGCGGAGTGTCGCGCTCTGTATACGATTTTAGCGCCTTACAAGTGCGGACACTTTTTAGCGCGGACCCGACGTCCTTATAATTGTAAGTCAATGCTTCTAAGGTATGAATACGGTTTAGCGCACTTTCCTTTAACAGATTTCAGTAAAACTTAGCAAAGAGGCACCTCTTTGCCAAGTTTTACTGAAATCCCAATAAAAAAAGCTGTTCAGTGAACTTTTGAGGTCGGGTTTTTTAAAATTTTTTTTTAATGTTTCAAAACAAAATTAGGGGATCGGGACACTTGTGGAATAAAGTTTTTTTGCGATTTCTGATATCTAGTATTCTTACCTATGTTGACCATGTTGTCATGGAAAAATTTTCTAAAAATTGCTTTTTATTTTGCTGACTGTACCTTGTCTTTAAAATCTTGACCCTACTGAAATATCTTCAAAATTCATAAACAGCCTTCTAAAACCCGTTTCCTATAGTTATGACAGTTAACTATCCTTGCTGACCTGTCTCAAATTTCCACCCTGTAATGATTTGTTGTTAACATTTAACTGGGGGACTTAATCCTATTCAGCCTTAAAACAGAGTACGCAAATATAACTACCATCAATTTGGTATCAATCGACGTGTTTATATTCGAAAAAGGAAGCAGTTTGAATGGGTAAGACCAGAGATACACAAAGAACGATTGGCGCAGGTCACGAGGCGTTCAAGTCGCTGGTGGACGTGGCGTCGGCGGCCACGGCGCTGCCCGTGCCGCGCGGCGCACAGCCCGACGCCAAGCAGGACGCGCTAGCGCAGAGCGGCCACGCTGCCCACCACGACATCCGGTCAGTCTCACCCTTGTCTCTGTCTTGCGTTCTGTGCCATACGCACCCTTTCCCCCACAGCCTTCCACATCTTACACCTCATCGACGTGCGTCAATGTTATGCGCCAACATTTTATTAGCTTCTACAATTGTGAAACAAAAAAGCATGACATTTATTACCTATACTGCCTCGCATATATATACGCAGAGGTCCTCGGGTTCGATTCCCGGGCCGGGAATATTTGTATGGCCTGCATTTATTTCTCTCGTGAGTTTGGGTGTAATTTGTGGTTGTCTATGTGTGTGTCCATGGCACCCGCGACACAGGGTTTCCCTTGTGCGGGGCTATGTTGAGTGTATGCGTTATTATTATTATTATACACTGAATTCAACAAATATACAGGTTGCTAATCAGTTAGGTACAAACATTTTCAATTACTTACCTCATGGTAATCACTTGAAAGTGGGAATAATCGCAATTAGTAATTTTTATATTATTCTTAAAAAAATTATACTGGCACAAGCCGAGTGGCCGCCATAAAGGAAATAATAATAATGTGCACTTGTCACTTGCTAGAATCTCAGACTACTGTTCTCAATCAAAAAATTTTAAAGTTTTTAGTTCAAAAGTTATTAAACGGAGAATAGGATTATAAGCGAACGGTGAACACGGTGACGTGTCTTTGCAGAACAGATTAAAAATATTACAATTTTCTGATTTTACTAATTAATTTAACAATACAAATAATTATTATTTCATTAAAATATTTGCTCAATAATCGTTTTTGTTATCTTCACTTACCTATATCATTCAACATTTTTGAAAAACGGACATTACATCAATATTATATTTCAAGTCAGTATTTATGTCATTCAAAATTAATTCTAAAATAAACAATACGTAGCATTGCATTTATAATACATTACTTGTAAATTATCCGTATTTAATTTATTGGTACCTTAATCCTTTACAAACACCTATCATGGCCGAGCATTTAAAATGATTTGAAAATTGCAGACTGCAAGACCGCATGCAGCGTGACATGGCGATGAAGTACCACCAACAGCAGCAGCAGCTGCAACAGTACCACCAAATGGACCGCGACCGTCGTGCGCAGCAGGCACACCAGGCACATTTTGAGCGTGACAGGCAGATCGTCATGCAACACAACCGAGAAAGGTAATAGCTTCCAGCCATGAATTATCAAAACACGGACACTGTCACTAGCTATACTATAGAATGATTGTTTACTCGCTGCAGACTTGGCCATAAATTGCAGTTTAATAGTTTTTTGTAGCAGTGGAGCTATGCTTGTGAAAGAGATCGTCTAGGTAAGTACTGCCTCCTTACCTATTTCTGCCGCCGAGCACTAATGTAAGCATGGCTGCGTTCCGGTTTGGAAGGGTAAAGGTGTTGGTGAAATTACAGGCACATGGGACTTTTCAATTTATGTCTCAGGGTGACGGGCACAGTGGCAGTGCCCCTCAGATCTTTGCGATTGTATGCAACTGTTATGGACAGGCGTCCCGTCCAAGTGTCCTTAGTGATTCATTTGTTTTCGTCGTTAATCTGAGCACGCGTAACGTACGCTCAACACTCAGCAAGAGCAAACGTGTGGTATATTTTTAAACAAAAAACGAGGCTTGAACTGTTGGTTATTTTGAAAACATTTTTGATATGGCTGCTTTTCAAATATAGTTATTCGGGCCAAAGTAGTTTTTTTTAATACACAGTGCAACAAATTTTATTGAGGACTTGACACGTTTCACGTTACGTCATGTCGCGTTTAAAATCCTCATCAGGATTTGTGGTATTGAGATAGGCCGGTGTCGTAAAAAGCACTCGTGCCACGGTAAGTGCAGAGCTAGAACCGCGTGCGTGTGCAGGGAGCGCGCCATGGCGGCGCTGCAGGAGCGGCACATCGCGCTGGAGCAGCAGCACTCGGCGCACCACCACCCGCACCTGCTGCACGAGCGGCACCACCTGCCGCACCCGCTGCCCGCGTCAGCCGCCGAGCCGCGGCTGCTGCCCGCGCCCGCGCCCGCCTACACGCAGCCCAAGCACCGCGCGCACACGCCGCACGCCGACCGCAAGGACGCGTGAGTCGCTGGCTTTCTTGCCGGGAAACAACACTTACTCGCCTTCAGTTAATGTCGTGTCGCTTAATGTAGTGTGTTTTTCTAACTGGTATGGGGAAATTCGATGGGGGGATTCAGTAGCAGTAGAGCTCCTTGTGAAAGAATTCGTCCAAGGAAGCGCTGCCACCTTACCTATTTCAATGTGAACATTACTGCGTTCCGGTTTTGAAGGGTAAGGGTGCTGGTGAAATTACAGGCACATGATGCTTCACGGTGATGAGGTGAGTGGCGGTGCTTCTGAGATTTTTGAGATTTAAAGCTCTGAGTGGCACTGCAACTGTTATAGACAGACGTGTCGCTTACCATCAGGCGCGCACGGCTTGTTCGTCTCGTTAGTATCATAAAAACAAATCGTTATTACAGAGAAACTCTTAGGCACCATTGGGTTTTTTTATGAAAACAATTTTGACATAGTCATTTACTTGGTAGCATGAGTTGGCTATAAAAATGACTATTATCGCTAATTTATATTTGAATGTTTGGTGGTGTCATTTGTGGGAAACAAATAAACATTTTCTTTCATTCTTTTTTTTTAATGCTAACTGACCCAGTTTCTTGAAAGGAACGTTTTATTGCATTGGAAGAAAAATATCAGTACAGTAGAAATTGGTTCAAGTTTTTGGATGTTGGATTTGTTTTCACAAACAAAAACCTAATTAGTTCCATAGAATTTCCCCTGTATGCTTATGTATGGTATAGACCTTCCTCACTCTGTCCAAGTTAAAAACACACTACAAGTGTAATACATATATAAATTAAAAAATGCGTTCTATGCAGCGTAGTAACAAACGGTTCCTCGGGCTTGATTGTAAATTTTTGTGATGTTTCAACCTATTCAGCGCCCACTGGGGTAGGGAGCACTTTGGGGAAGTAGGCTCTAACCTTTTGACCGGTTGGGGTTGCAGCCGTCCGCCCGTGTCGACGAGCTCGGTGGCGGCGGCCGTGGCGGCGGCGGTGGCCGGCGGCGAGGCGCGGCAGCGCTCCGAGGGCACGCTCACCGCCGCCAGCCTCATCGACGCCATCATCACGCACCAGATCAGCCAGAGCAGCGAGCAGCGGTTCCCGGTACGCTGCGCCACCTTGTCTCACCTCTTCACTCTAATACCTATGTATACACTACATCGAGTATATAACCAGAAATAGAGACGAAATGTCGTTTCATTACGGGTGTCGTCAATTGTTTGACTTCAAATCGACCAGTTAACTTGAGCTTTGCTATAATGGACGAAATTTGCAAAATTATATATTTAATATTTAATTACCGATGAAATTTGATTCCATTTGTTTTGTAATTAGATGTTTTGCTGTTTTTTCCCACACCACCGAATGGAACAGCACGCCATTGTTGAGACATTACAATAAATACAGAATATTTCCGCTCTGCTCTAAAAGCTGCCTTAATATAATTCAACCGGAAAGTTTAAAAGTGTATCTCAATCTCTCAACTGAGAAGTAATAATAGCAACGCACACACTTATAGCCCCGCACTATAATAGAGGAACCCTGTGCGACGTGCCATGGTCGTACACATAGACACCACAAATTCACGAGCGAAATAAATGTATGCCATACAAATATTTCTCCCAGGCTGAGAATCGAACCAGCAACCTGAGACCTCTGCGTGGCAGACCAGCATGAATTCCGTTAGTTCCTCTTGAGTTGCCAATGCTTATCAGTTTATAATGAAATCACCAATACTTGTCTACAACAGGCACTGATCCGCGAAGATAGCAACACGAACAACCAGCCCGCCCCCCTCGAACGGAACGAGCGAGTGCCCGCGCACTCCGACCGCGAGAGGGAACGGGAACGCGAACGAGAGAGGGAGAGGGAAGACGCCGCGCATACCACCAGCATTAAGCTCGGAGATCTCGCATCTAATATCATCACGAGGGACTTCTGCAGTCCCACTACCTCCTTGGTTCATCATAAGTACGTACATAATGTTTTACGTTTTTTCTAGCACAGAAAATAAATAATTAAACAGATCCCAAATCGAGTTTCCTCCAAATACAGATGTAGCAGTGTATTAAGTAAATTCTTTTTATTATATCGCTTGGTACAAGTTGGTGGTATAACAACGACATAACGATGGAGTGTAACTTTCTAGTCCCATAGTGGTCTATATGGACCCCCAGGGGTTCACTCCAAACTACAAGGGGTCTATGTCAGCAAAAAAAAAAAGGAAATACGTAAGACATTTAAGTGGGTCCACGAGAGTCGAGCCCATTTATGCAGATCGTGACATTACACAGATTTATATACATAATACTTTCTTATAATAGATATAGGTATAAATTACCTATGAATTTTCATGACAAACAAGTTTATTCGGCTAGAATCGGCTAGATAAATGTATAAAATTTAACATATATTTTTTAATAAACTTTCTCAGCTATCAAAAACACGTTTGGAGGTGATAAATTAGAGAATAAATCCATATTAGAAAGGCACACGGCTAGGCTACGCATTTGCGTGAAAAAATCGGCATGTGGTTTACGAGAGAAAAAAGTTTGAGAACCTCTGTTCTAGTCGATTGAAAGAGGAACGAACGGTGGAACTAAATAGTAACATCTCTTCTGAAACGCATCCCACTTTATGTAAAATATTTGGTGCCTATACACAGCAGTCGATTCGCGGTGCCGGTGACGGAGGCGTACAGCGTGGGCGGCGTGGGCGTGGGCGACGAGTGGAAGCGCCGCGACGCGCCCAAACACGCGCCCTACCTCGAGCCCGTCTCCCCGCCGGACAACCACCCTGCCAACAGGTAAGTTGAGACGGCTTTTTTAATTTAAAGTACAAAGTAATATTCTGCCGTCCACTAATTCAAACGCGGCTAAGTGACAAATCGACCCCTCCTACATAAAGTATCGTATGTCGAAATTGACAAGTTTACAGGGGAGCGTTTGTAACGAGTAACGAGTTTTGCCAAATAAAATGAGAAATGCTAAAGTCACGTGTTATGCTCATTTCAATGAATTCAGAACTTTAAAACGGTCCCATGTAAAGTTGGCAATTTCGACATACGACACTTTACGTAGGAGGGGTCGAAATGGTCAAATATCATTCATGATAAGCAAAAAGAGCACAAAATTCTCTTTTAAAAACAGGTAAAATTAGTTAACGACTTATCAGAACTTACCCTAACATTTGACATTGGTAATATGAAATAAATTATATTATGTTATATTATATTTTATTACTTAATTATTTGAGTCAATTATCGTGAAATATTAAATAATATTTCAGGTTACTACACTCGAATATTAATACTAAGAATATAAATTAATAATACTTCTCTATAGCCAGTCTTTTATCGAAAATGGAGTAAAATGACAGTTCTTTGCGCAAAACTTTGGTCGTGCATTGTGGACACGCAAATTGATAACTACTTTTCGAGCTACACGTATTACGAAATACATTGAAAAAAAAAGAAGAAATATATATAATAATAAAGCTCACGGTATTATATTTCTATATTATATAGTATTTAATCCCAACAAAGAGTTTGGGTATAAAAGCTGACTTTGCATATATAAACAGAACATATAGTTTTGTATAATAAATATAATAGAAAGGAAAAACTTTATTTTTACTAGCATTTTAAACAAGTCATTCGATTTCAGATAACGATCGATTAACGTAATCAAATATAATTCCAGAAACAACAGCAACAGAAGATATAGCGGCGTGTCAGGTGTTTCCGGATCCGGCGGGGTCCTGACCGCGTTCGACTACGTAACGCACCGCATCGTGGAGGTGATGAGATCGGACACGGACGAGCGCGCTGAACGAGACCGGGACCGAGAGCGAGACCGGGTGGAACGCGCCAAGCCGCTGGCTTTCCCCACTGCCGCCTACGCCTACCCGTATTCGGCTCTGAACGTCGCCACACCGCAAGGTGAAGGTATGTGTCATATAAAACTACTGTTACAAACTCAGACATATAATTAAACTACCAGATAACTAAATAACATTGGTCGGTACCCCCCGCCAGGAAAATGTTAGGTGCTACGTCAGTGATTAGTGTAGATCAGGCATCGAGTATATAACCAGAAATAGAGACGAAATGTCATTTAATTTGTTTGAAAACTATTCTGCCAAATCATTACGGTGACAACTGCGCTCCGATTGGCTAGCCCGAATTCGAAACAATTGTTGCGGGTCGGCAATTGTTTCAAATCGACCAGTTTAACTTGAGCTTTGCTACAATAGACGAAAATTTAAAAAATACGTATATTTAATATTTAATTAAGAGTTGTTATCTTTATTACAATAAATACTAAATATCTTTGGAATATACGGAGACGTACACACAGGTCAGTTGTTGGCGCTGTACTATTTCAGCTTTCTAATTTGTGAATACAGTGCAAACGAGAGTTGATATTTGAAAGTGATATAAAGCCCATTTGCCTGATGAGTTAGTAGTCAGGGGTGGATGGCCCTTCTTTCGTCTCTATTTGTAATTGTGTACTCAATGAGATGAGACTTTAAAGTGACGTAGTTAGTGCAGTGTGTAATCCACATTGTCGGTGTTTTGAAGGAAGGACGTAAACGACATTTAAAAAAAAAATTCAGGTTAGCATGTTTTAGATTTTAACGATTGTTTTAAAATATTATGGTTTTAAATGGGTTTTAATGAAATTAGTCTTAAAATTGGATTTTAAACATTTCTGCAAAGCACCGACAACGTGACTTTAATAAGAATGAGGCAAACGAGGTTCTCGTCGACTCACCGCCGCGGAGTCTCATGATCGAGGATCTCGGACTCTTTCGAAACACGTCAAGCAAGAATTTGACTTAAATACGTAAATTATTTAAGAGTTTAAGTAACGAAAATAGTTTTTTATTTCTTTTACTCAAAACTTAAATTAGTGTTTACAATTGGATCTTCCTAGTAGGTATCATCTACCTGTATCGGGAGCCTTTCCAATATTCTTTAGTATGCAGAAATAAACCTTAATTAGTTGCTATAATGTACTAAAATTATTACAAATTGAAGAATTTGTATACAGTGAAATAGATTTTCATGAAGTAAGTAATACTAATAATAGTACAAGCAATATCTAATATCACCCTTTAGGGTGTTCCCAAGAGAATAATAACAATAATTATTATACGGGTACACTTTAAGGTACATGTACATACACATAGCGTTTTCACAAATGCCACATGTAACGCCCCTCTGCGCAGGCGCCGCCCCGCCCGCGTCGGCGCCCCCGCCGCTGGCGCCCGCGCCGCCGCCGCCGCCCGAGCCGGCGCCGCTGATGTCGGCGCAGTACGAGCCGCTGTCCGACGAGGACTGACCCCGCCCCGCCGCGCTGGCCGCCGCGCCCACCGGATAGCACAGGCACTCCGTCATCCGCCACACCGCCAGGTAGCACCCGCCGGCCGAGCCGGTGCGGTGCTTCGTGCAGTTCGCTCGTGGATGAACCCTTGGACGCAGTGACTGTCGTGACCGAAACGGACTTGACGCCGAAAGGCCGTTCGCTACGGAAGCTTTCGCTCGCCACTCGGCGATACTATGCGGACACTATAGTAGACGCGTCGGAAGAGTGAACAGAACAGTAAATCGTTTTATAAATAAATAATTATTAAAAAGTGACAAATTTAACCTTCAAGTATCTGTAACTCTTAATCGATAATCGGTAATGATCGAAAGACCGGAACGAAGGAACGGCTGACACCGGCGTACAGCGTCTTTAAAATGAAAGACGAGAAAGTGATCTCACTAACGTGATGCCACTTCGATCTTAGGGCGTTACGGGCGTCGATTCGCATCTAAACTAAATTCACAGATCTAAAACCGTTTAAATCTCTTTCTAATTGAAGTTAAATATTTATTGATAATACAGAAGAAAATGCAATTTTTAAATCTGTTACGTTAGTTTAGATCAAAATTGTTAGAATTGACACCCCACCTTGTATATTAAACTTATGTATAAAGCAGGGAAATAATACGTGTTGTGGGAAGCTTTAAGTGTCCGTGAGACGAATTCTATGGAGGAATCTGCGTAACAAACACAGTATAGCTACAATACAATACGAAGCGCTGCCTTCATCCATCATTTTTGTATACATCACTGGGAATCATTTCCTTAGCTAGCACAGAATACAAGCGAGTTTATTAGTGCTTCTATAGCTGAGATATAAACCCATTTGACACTTTTATTTTGTTAGCAACAAATAATTGCATAATTAAAATTTTTACCGTAAGTAGAACTCGAATTGCCTATTTTAGTTTACATTAATATCTAAATACGTTTGAAAAACAAACTACGATAAGGAATTGTCAAATGGATTTAAGGTATGCACTTGGTGAAAACGTTACGTTACGTTTGTTAACATAAAAGCTGTTCGTCTTTTTTCTACCTTTGATGTTATGCGTGATAGCTAAATTTCTTTAAGTGAGAGATAAAGAACCTTGCGTCTATGTTTTGGAATTTAGATGTTTTTACATATTTTTTTTAAACATACTTTTTTTAAACATACTTTATTTGACTTTAAGATTGATTATTGATTTTTTTAATTGAATTTCACGATGTTGAACTGTATAATATTAATATATTTTTTGTGAAATAATTTCTCTAGTTTGTTATAAATTTCCGACAGAAATTGAACCTGTGCCGTCGCTCTGCCAACTGAGCTACAAGTCGAATTAGTACATCGACGAAATTCTTCTTTGTGTCTGTTATAGATCTTTCTATTACGTTTTTCAGCTTTCAACGCTGTAAGATTAATGTAGTTAAAAGCCTCGGTCTCTTTAAAACGCTGTGTGGTAAAAATTAATAACTGACAATGAAGTTTTTATTTACTGTCAGCATGTTTCACCATAATAATAATAACGCATCACACTCAACATAGACTAGGGAAACCCTGTGTCGTGGGTGCCATGGACACACGTAGACAACCACAAATTACATCCAAACTCACGAGAGAAATAAATGTAGGCCATACAAATATTTCTCTCGGCCCGGGAATCGAACCTGGGCCCCCTGCGTGGCAGTCCGACGAGGTAATCGTTCGGCAACGAAGGTAGTTGAATGAATAATGATTATTAAATTTGCTTTTTTTTTGTAAAATTACTCCACTTAATACAAAGATCGGACACTTAGAAAACATTCCTTCGATCCGGCCAGATTCAAACCGACGTCTCCTAGCAAACCGTGCCAACTAAGCCACGGAACGAATCAGTGGACCTCACGAATTCTTCTATGTACTTGTTGTCGGTTTTTGGTTTTTAACGTCGGTTCAAATCCGACCGGATCAAAGGAATTTTTTTCTAAGCATTCGATCTTTATATTAATAATTATAACATACTATTTCGCACTTAAGATTTCTTTAGCTCTCACCTACAGAATTTTATGTTTTTATTCATAAACATCTTTAATCGCCAACTGTATCATCAAGTTTGAAATAAACTAAAAAGCATTCGGCCTACGTTATTGTAGTACAAGGTATGTTGTTAAAAATACTGACAAAGGTTTATGTATTCTGTGTAAATTTAAATGTTGCATGTCGATATTGTTCAAGAATTTGTGTCAAACTTATTGTATTCTATGCTGTGAATGTACATGACTGAAATTATCAAATTCATTCTTTTATATATATACATATATATATTTAAAAAAATGCTTCTATCGAATTAGGGAGAATGGTTAACAAATTGTTTCATAACGTCGTGAGCATAAGCGTAAACAAAATTGACTTTTCTAAATCCATTTTGTCTCTTTGACTTTAAGAGCCGAGAGCCAAAATACGGCTCCAAGTTTAGATTTGTATTTAAAAAAAATGCACTTGATTATCGACGTCAAAATGTTATTAAAAAAACACCCTACGTTCGAGACTAAAAAGTAAATATTATAGAAGCGAATAGGTATTTAATGCCTCAGCGTAGATTGAGAGAAAGAAAAGAAATATTCTTTCATATCTATAATATTTTCTTTCTAGTGTTGAAAAGCGATTAAACGCTGTCGCTAACGCTAAAACTTTCTTCGTATTTTTAATAAGCGGCAGATAATCGTATCTTCTCGGTCGCTGAATATTCTAAAGAAAAAATTGAACCAGTCTTCCATCGCCACTCCGACACTACACGTAGAATAATTATCCTATTCGTCCAATTCGTAGATACACTTAGATACTTACTTGTATATTGTGTATAGACTCGTGAGATCAACGACACTTACCCAGGCGCATGCCGCGTGTATATTTCTCGCCTTGGCTCCGCTAAGCTGGACGCTGCATCACGGCGCTGCGTAAAAAGGTCCAAGTCTAATGCAACCGGAATGGCAAAATCAGATTACAGTCTTGGGTCTTTTTACGAAGTGACGAAGCGATATTTTGTTATATAAATTTACGTTTAAAAACTTTTTTGTAAGATTATACTTTGTAAAGCTTCGCTTCGGATTTCGCTGTTGCAACAATCATTCACGTTAGTTAGTTTACGCGTAGTTGAATTCTTATCATTTACGTCTCATGTAAATATGTCATTGTCATTCGTTAATGTACAGCCGATGCGGCCGCCGCGCGCCAGCGAAACCCGAAACAAAAACAAACAGTTTTACGATACTCGACATTTTCCGGAAAGCAAGTTGAACTGTTCAAATACCCTTATTAATATAAAAAAAAATATACATAATGTACACACGGTTAACGGATTAATTAAAGTAAAAGGTAAATTATATACATATTGTAAAAGTGTATGGTTATTATGTATAGATACTGTGCATTTGTAATTAATAATTATACAGACGTTTAGTTAAGACTTACTATAGAGATTTCATTTTTAGTTAGGAGGGCCTTGCCGCGCGCCGCCGGGGGCGGGGTGGCGGGGTGGCGGGGGTCGCAGCCCGCGCCCGCGCGAAAAAAGCATTTCACTGTGTGATGTGTTCCATTTCCCTGACGCACTCGGTTCGGCCGCGCCCGGCCGCAGAGGGCTCGCACCGACAGATGCCAACCGGTAGAAGGCTGCGGCTGAAACGCGTGCGCATTAAGTTTTGTAAATGTTTTCGAGTTATGTGTAAAAACGACTGATTAAATTTTACTTTGAGCGAGTGGAGGCGCGCGGCAGCCGGCGCCCGGCCCCCGGCACTCTGACATTGTGATTTCTTATAAATTGTATAATTTACTTGTAAGTAGTAAAAGAAAAGGTAACCCTTGTAAGGTCCGATCATGAAAAAAATTTTGGGAGGACAAATCAATAAATAAGATGCAAATCTATTTCACTTGTTTCATTTCCACTTCTGTCGCAGTCTAATTACAGAACCAGACGTCTCTAGGTCACTTTGAACCTAAACGGTAAAAAGTTAACTCTACCAAATATGAAAATGTGACTTATTACCCGTTTTACATTTCCTAGTTTTATTCGCCGAGATTGCTTCTAAGAAATTGTTGAAATATAATTTTTTTATTTAGACTAACACAAAGTTTATAAATGGTCCAAAATGGGTTTCGCGTGGTGCTGTCTACATCTTTTTCTAGAATAATATACAATAAGTGTACCGATGTGTTCGTCAGTTTAGTTGCAAAATTGAAGATTTTGTCGCTCCTTTGCTCAAAAGATACAGAAGAAAACCACCCAACATTAAAAAAAGGATTCAATGTACCAAAACCAACATGTGCGAATAACCGCATCCTGATAAGTTCCGTATATGCTCCATTACATAGTTTGACATATTGACAATTTTTTGTAACAGAAATGTAGTCTATGTTTGTTGGCTCTGAAAAACGACACAATCTAAAAATGACTCTTGAATTAGTGCCAATTAGGTTTAGTAACAAAATCAACGACTTAGAATCATAGTAATGGAAAGAAGCCCAAGATTCAGCTACAGCAACCCAAAGACCAGAGCCTGGACAGGCGTGACTGTGTTCTCAGCGTATCTTGTGCTACTCATGGTGGAAATATACGTGGACATATTCGAAGATCGAGTGCATTTGCGTTTCTATGACAAGATATGTGGTTTCGTTGGTTATTTACGCGGATGAGAAAGATTTACATTCAAATAATTATGAACTTGTGAATATTGTGCCAAATGATAGAAAGAAGCTCGTTGCCATCATTGAAAAAGGGGTTTTTTTAATGTAAAGAAAGAGGCAAACGAGCAGACGAGTCACTTGATGGGAGGTGGTAATACTTCAGAAGGAAGATCATTCCACATCTTACAGGTTCGAGGAAGGAACGAACGAGATACCCGCGTGGTCTTAAAATGCCAGACATCTAAGATGTGGGGATGGATTCTACTCCTTTGGCGGGAGGTACGATGATGGAAACGAGACGATTGCACCAGTTCGAAAAGTTCCTCAGAGCAGTCACCATTATAAAGATGGTAAAACACACACAGATCCGACGTCTCGCGACGATCCGCAGGCTACGGGGCTCTACAGGAGTTGATTTTATATAAGTAAATAATGTGATTTGAGTTATTTAAAAGCCTGTATTTAATGCGCAAATACAACTGAATGTCTACAACTAAGAGTCGTATTCCAGAACTCTACTCAATGCTCAAGTCAGGACTTGAGTATGTCAAGTCCCTGCCATTAGGGTCGTATTTCCAGTGCTTGTGTTTCCATTGCAATCCTGACTTGAGCATTGAGTATAGTTCTAGAATACGACCCTAAGTGCACTGCAATTGTTATTCAGACAGGCGTGTCGCTTACCACCAGGCGCACGACTTGTTTGTACCGTCACTTGATATCGTAAAAAAAGAATACAAAAAGAGTAGTTTCACGAAAAATATCTGAATAAATCATGGTAATAAAAACATGACAGGACAGAACAGAACAGGATATTCAATGAAATATAGCGACATTTCTATCAGTCTTTTGGTAGCACTAAAGGTAAAGAAACTTTCATACTGTAGGGACTTGAGTATGATTTCGAGTGCTTTAAATCATACTAAAACCCTGACTTGAGCATTGAGTAGAGTTTTAGAATACGACCCTTAGATTCGGTTACATTATACAGGCAACTTGTAAAATTACCAAAAATAAATTTTTTTGTTGTACTGTTTGACACTTTTTAAACCGGTATTTGGTAGTAAGATTCAAAGGATTAGCAAGTTGAAGTGGCAGTGGGCAGGGCACATAGCTCGTTGCGGCGGAAACGTTCTCCAATGGCAGCCAGGAACCGGAAGGCGTTCAGTGGGACGGCCCTCTACTAGATGGACGGAGGACCTGGTAAGGGCGGCGGATAACAGATCCACGTCGCGTCCGATTGGCTAGTTTGGAAATTATTGGCGGAGGTCTATGTTCAGCGGTGGACGTCTTCCAGCTGATATGGTGATGACTTGGTAGTAAGTTGTTATTATTTTGATATATTATTTTGCATTGCTGCATTACCGAGTGCTGTCATTCAAGTAATAATTTTAGTGATGGGTTATCGCACAGAGTTGTCACCGGTTAGACATACATATTTATTTTTTTATACGAAAGTAAGTTGATGTTTGTGATGTTAGTAATATAGTCGTACAATGTTGTTAATATTTTCCAAATAACCCTGTATATGGCTAAGTTATAGAGATGGTGATAAGTCAATGGGAAACCGTTCCCCCGCTTCCCATTTGAAAGGTCTATGATTCGAACCCCTGTGTAATACCGAAGCATTGTATAATAATCAATCAGAACTTGGCAATTTAGATGAACAGCCATTGCAAATTGGACCTTCGAAAGTTGTTAAAGTAACTTATTGAACGAAATATTTTTTGTATTCTGCTTTTCATTTTAAAGTGAAAATAATGATTAACAATTAATACAATGTCGTCGTTTTAAAAGATAAGCGCTCAAGTGGATTCGGATATTGAAAATAAATTCTACTTTACACATGATTTCTTTTTTTATGATACCAAATCACGGGACGAGCAAGTCGTGCGCCTGGTGGTAGACGAAACGCCTGTCCACAGCGGCTGCAGTGCCACACAGTTTCAAATTGCAAAGATTTGAGGAGCTACCGCGCCCATCACCCTGAGACATAAGTTGACAAGTCCCATGTGCCCGTAATTTCACGAGCAAGCTTACCCTTAAAAACCGGAATGCAGTAATGGTCAATCTTCAATTTCTAAGTTATTTGTGAATATTTAGCAGCAATACCTATCGAGTGGGTACCTCTAGCTAATGTTGAAGGAAAACATTATCATAACGAAACCTGCATGTCGATCAAGCTTCACAACCTTCGGAAAACGTTAAATCCTCTCCTTACAATAGACCATGGCCAGCAGTGGGCCGTTTTAGTCGTTTTTTTAACAGCAGTAGAGCTCCTTGTGAAAGAGTTTGTTCGGGAAAGGAAAGTACTGCCACCTTACCTATTTCTACCGCCAGCAGTGATGTGAAAACTCTTCGATATTTTAACTGAATCATTCGATTGGATATTGTTCTCGAATCAAAGGGTGCTTTCCGAGCTATTCAGAACATTCAGAGTTAAACATTCGATTCGGATGCAATATCGTTGTCCAACAGCGTTTACGGAGTTAGTCGGTGAAATAGATTAGAAGTTTGAAAATCGTTTTATATGTATACATTTTTAAGACTGTAAAGGCCTAAAATATAGAAATGCATTTGTCTTGCATTAAAATAAACTAATAAAATTGAACAAAATCCAGACTTTATTTAAAATAATAAGAGATATCCATATTAGATTCTTGCTTTGTAAACATTCGGTAACTTTCATTCGATAACTGTGCTCTGAGTAACGCAAGTTCTAGTAATCGTATAGTTCGGTTTCGAATACGACAGCTTGTCATTCCATTCGGGTGTTGCGAATAAAAATGAAAAGAAATCTGTCGACAACTGAGTTATCGTAAGGTTCTAAATCGACTCCTTGGTGATATTACAGGCACTTGGGACTTGGCAACTTGTCATATCACATGACTGACGAACATGAGACGTCAAGCGCCTGATGGGTAAGCGACACGTCTAACCATAGTTGCAGTGCCACTCAAATCTTCAAATATCTGAGATTTATCGCTCGTCACCCTGAAATATTAATTTTAAAGTCTCATATATTTGTAGTTTCAGCAACATCATTTCTCTTTAGAACCGGAAGGCAGTAATGCTTGCGTTACTACTAGGCGGCAGGAATATATTGGTGTATTCCGTCTCTGATGATTAGTAAATAATGATCTCATCGTTAATGAACAAACATTGAAGTTGTCTGCTTTAATTGACGTCTTCTAATGTGTTAAGTAATTTACTTTAATTTAGAACAGTATGTTATAATTATTAACACAAAGATCGTACACTCAGAAAAAATATTTAGTAATAGTAATTTCACATAAAAAAATAATTGAATATAAATTCAATAAAAATGTAAATACTGTGAATAGCGACATCTCTACCCGGGGCCGGTAGCTGTAAAGGTATCTAACTGGGTGACGAAATACTTTCATAGATGGCGCTACGGCTAAAATGTCGTTGAAAAACCAAATACAAAGACACGACAACAAGCACATAGAAAAATTCGGGTCCGCTGGTTCGTCCCGTGGCTTGGTTGGTATAGCGATAGCGTCTGACAAGGTATGCTAGAAGACGTCGGTTTGAATCCGGCCGGATCGAGGAAATATTTTCATCTTTGTTAATAATTGTGACGAACTAGTGGAGTAATTTCACATAACAAATAATTGAATATCAATTCAATAAAAATATAAATTAGAACATTATAGCTAAAGCCTGTTATTTGCCACAAATATACCATAGGAGACAGGTACCGTATCTAAGAACACGTACTAAGACGTTATATAGAATATTATACGAGACATTACTATAGAACAGCAGTGGGTTCGAATCTGGGCTCGCACATCCGTTTTTCGGAATTTATGTGAATAATTTAATTTTCGATGAAGGAAAACATTGTTGTGATGAAACTTGCTCGTCGAAAATTCAAAAATTCATAATCCTCAGAAAACATGTGAAGTCCTCCAACCTGCGTTAGATCGGCGTGGCGGAATATGGCCTAAAACCCTTGCCTGAAAGTAAACCCGTACCCAACAGTTGGACGAATAAATGGTTTGATGCATTGACTTACAAATAAATGGACGACGGGTCTAATACAAAAACCACGAAAAAAATGTCCCAAGTCAACCTATTTAAACGTAGTGACATGTAAAGGAATATGAAAAAGCTAAAACGTTGAATTTAAATTGTAATGTCATCGCAGTACTGTCTAATTTTGCTTGCTTCGCTGTCAGTAGAACAAACGAAGACTAAAGCGTGAATGACGCTCTGTATACGATTTTAACGCCCTATAAGTTTGGACACTTTTTAGCGCGGACCCGACGTACATACACACATCAAAAAAAGTTTGCGATCAATAGCATAAGCTCCTATAATTCTTTAAATTTAACTTTATCAAGAAAAAATCTATGTTGTATGCTTTCTTTAAATAGGAATACCCTGTTTGAAATTAAAATATAAAACTATTTTTTATTATTTATTTTAAAAAATTGAGCCATTAATCATAATGTAATAGTGATAGAAATTTCATAGAAAGAAAAAGACTGTTTAATTTAACTTAAACAACAATTTATTATTAAAAGGTGTGAATTCAATATAAAATAACTCCTCCCCTGGCTCGAATACATGCGAAGATCCTCCTGGGCATGCTGAGGATCAAGTTATCCAGCATTTCCTGGGGTAACCTATCCCATTCTTCAATAGCGGCTTCCCTGAGCTCTGGAACTGTCTGGGGACGTGGCTCACGGTTCCATACTGCTCGTTTAAGAGCATCCCACGCGTGCTCTATTGGGTTTAAGTCGGGCGAGCCGGCAGGCCAGTCTAATCGTGTGATATCGTATTCTTGAAGAGCAGCATTGACTCGTTGAGCTCGATGTGCGGGCGCATTATCATCGACCAGTACAAATTGGTGCCCATGGTTTACTCGGATGGTCTGACGATATCATCAATAGCAACTGCTTTGTACATGTCTGCTGTCATGAAGCCCCGATACGGGATCAAAGGCGTTCTAGCTCCAATCATAATGCCACCCCAAAAGGACACCGATTTTCCGCCTTGCTGAACTGTTCCAGTGGCAGTTCTTTGTCTTTCACGGTCGCCTGGTCTTCTCCAGACACGGACACGTCGGTTATCAGGATGAGTGCTGATTCGGAAATCGTCAACGAAGAGACAGTTTTGCCAAATGTTTTCGTCCTCACCTTCTTCATTTTGCCGAAGTCTAGCCCACTGCAATCTTCGTTGTTGACGTTGCCGGGAATTGAGCGGAGCTCGCCAAGACCTCCGTGCTCGTAATCCAGCCTGGTGCAAGCAATTGCGAACGGTCTGCGTGCTAACTTCAAGCCCAGAGGCGGCCCTGACTTCTGCTTTTATCTTAGTGGCGTTGATTGTTGGATCACGGGCTGCCAGCAATCTAATATAGCGCTTTTGGGCAGCTGTCAAAACAGTTGGGCGACCGCTGCGGGGTCGGTCAACTAAATTCCCCATTCCGTGATACCTCTGCAACGTAGCCACGACACAGGATTGGGATATAGCAAGTCTGCGTGCTATTACTCTCGTGGTGTATCCTTCTTCCCTCAAAGTTACTATTCTAGCTCGTAAAACCTCTGATAATCCTCTTGGCATTTTTTCAATCACAACTTTCCGCGAAAAATATCTTGAATCGCTTATAATTGACTAAATCAGATTTCTGAATGAGCGTAAGCTAGGACTGAAAGCCTTTTTATATGAAAAAACAATTGAACGGGGTCATTGTTTTATGTTCTAATTTATTTTTAAATAAAGAATCTAAAAAGAAGAAAAAATCATAATATAATCTACAGTAACAAAAAAGATTTCAGTTTTTCGAAGTGATCGCAAACTTTTTTTGATGTGTGTATAATTGTATATCGTACATGTAAGTCAATGGGTTGATGATAATAATGAGTTGAGAGCAGGATTAAACTAATATAAAATAAGACGAAAATTTTGTTGTAAATTTTATTACCAACATTCTCGAATCGCACGTTAACAAAATAACAACATATTATTTACAAACAAATAAACGTTCGGTTACAAACAGTATACTGATATTTGGTAACTTATGGTGAACATACATCACTGAGGGTTGGCAGTGAAAAAAAAACGAGTTTACATGATTAAAAATTAAAATGCACAAAAAAACATATAAAAGAAATCTGAATACAAAATAAATATGATTGATGTGTAAAGTATGTTCGAAAGTGTTTTTCTTATATGTATTTTGAATTCACCTACAAAATCCATACAATAAGTATGGAAACCACCAGGCCGTCCATCTTTCTCTTTGTACGTCGGTTCTATGACAAAATCCTGTCACTTTTTAAGTTGAAAGTGCTTAATTACTAACGAGAAGGCCTAATTACACCTAAAAATATTGACTTATATATCATTTACATGTTTTTACAAATTCTAAAATACAAATCGACCAAAATTTCATGACCTTCGATTTCACATCACAAACGGACGTAACTTACATATGAACGAAAATAACTTTTTTGCACCGCAACATACGACATGAAATTCCGTTCACTTCTATCCGTCATAAGTGTAAGTTACGAAATGTTAAACTGTTCTAGTGCTATGGTCGTACAATTTTGGTCTACAGTGACATTGCACCTTAAGTATAATCAAAATCACGACTGACGGCCCGGTCTACATTGTCATTTACATCTAAATCCTTTTTACTTCTTAGCAAAATCCTCTCCGGTCTTGATGTTCTTTAGCAGTTCAGGAATAGCGGCCTTCAAGAGCTCTTGTTCGAACGCGTTGAGTTTGCCGTAGCCGAGGTTCTTCTCGACACCGTTCTTGCCAAGGACCACCGGGTTCGCGAAGTACGCCGCTTCGGACACGTTCGACTTGACGTACGCGCATTCCACTACGTTGGACTCGCCCTGGGGAATTAAAATCACAAATGAGTTTGAATATTTATATGGTCGAGTTCTTAGGTTTTCGAGATTGTTACACGTAGGTAATGAAACAATTTTTCCGGATTTAAATCGCGGATATTTGTTTTTCAAACAACGTTGGTTTGTTTGACAAAACAATATACGCGATTTCAATCCGGAAACATAGTTGCATTTCCTATTTATATGGTATTAAAAAAATAATATGCTGTAGTGACGTCGGACTGTTAAAGAAGAAATTATATGTAGAAATAAGCTTTTTTTAAATACTTTTTTATGAAACAAGTTACGGAATGAACAAGTCGCCCACCTGGTGGTAAGTGACACATCAAGGATCTACCACAACCTCTTAAAACTAAGTACTTTAAACATTATACTACGATAGGACGATTCAGAATATCAAAAAATAAAGATAGTTCATATAGCGTTATATCTTTCCTTTTTTTAGTAAGGAATAGACAACATTGGGAAATCATTCGTTCTTTCAATCACTTTAGCAATAATACATTAGTTGGTTGACAGGTTTGTCATGGTACGAATATGAGTAATATTATAATAAGCTTACTTTAAGCTTACATTGAAATAAGATTGTTTTTGGAAAGGTTATGGTAGGCCCCCTGTCCATAACAGTTGCAGTGCCATTCAGAGCATTAAACCGCAAAGATTTTACGGGCACTGCCACTCGCCCGTCAGCCTCAGACATAAATTGAAAAGTCCCATGTGTCTGTAATTTCACCAACACCTTTACCCTTCCAAACCGGAACGCAGCCATGCTTACATTAGTGCTCGGCGGCAGAAATAGGTAAGGTGGCAGTACTTCCCTAGACGAACTCTTAAACAAGGAGCTCTACTACATAAACGACCCACGGTCATTTACATAATATAAACTACTTCCAAGCTATTGATCAGTGCCATCTCTAGATATAAGAGTGATATTTGACCTTTTTCAGAATTACGATCTGTAGTATGAATATTAGTAGTGTTCTTGACTTGCTGGTCCATGGTTGTAGTCGCCATACTTTACATAATATGCAGTAAAAGAAATATTTTGGACCGGAACGTCTTTATGGCACATTGCATGGACTTGAAGATTTTTCTAAACGACTTTAATGCAATTCCGTGACGACAAGTGGAGGTGACTCCCGAAGTGGAACCAATATAAATAGATCTAGAAGTTTATTTCTCAAAATTTCTCAAACTGGGAATCAAACCCGGGTCAAAACATTGCACTAGGTATTTCGATTGAATATATAACCAGAAATAGAGACGAAATGTCATTCCATTTGTTTGAAAACTATTCTGCCAAATCATTACGGTGACAACTGCGCTCCGATTGGCCAGCTCGAATTCGAAACAATTGACGGGTGTCGTCAATTGTTTCACTTCAAACGATCAGTTTAACTTGAGCTTTGCTATAATGGACGAGAATTGCAAAATTACATATTTAATATTTTATTACCGATGAAAAGTGATTCCGTTTGTTTTGTAATTAGATGTTTTGCTATTTTTCCCACAACCCGAATGGAATAGCCCCCCATAGTTAGAGATATTATCTTTATTACAATAAATACAGAGTATTTTTGGAATATACGGAGACGTACACACAGGTCAGTTGTTAGCGCTGTACTATTTCAGCTTTCTAATTTGTGATTTCAGCGCAAACGAGAGTTGACATTTCAAAGTGATATAAGGCCCATTGCCATTGCCTGATGAGTTGCCAGGGTATATCTAGTTGGATGGGTATAATCTCTCTGCCCTAGTCTAGCAGTCACAGTAATTTTCGGAACAGGTTATGTGTGAGTACTAATAATATTACTCAGTAGCAAAATAAGAACAGAGTGATGCTTATAACACACCTCATTTCTAGTCTGGATGATGTGTGACGGTGATTTCATACTGGAATATTACTTATACGACAATGTAATAGATATGGGCGTTGGATGGACGAACTAGTCGAATCAACCGTTCACGTCCTATCGACGTTTCTACGGGTCTACCGTTCTTCGGTTAACTAGTAGAATTCGTAGACGGCTAAACGGAGAGTCCACGCGTTAATCAACGCTCTGCGTCACGAGACGACGCGCGAACTTAGTCGAATTATACATAAACTTGCATAGACAAATTATTTTGAACTTTAAATTCAGTAAGTGTAAGTTGATATTTGAATATGTGCGACGAAGTAAGATAGGTCTGTTATGCTATTTATTATTGCAATAGTGCATTCAATATAGAAAAAGGATGACGGTGTAGTTAATTCGCTAGAGCGAGAGAGAGGCGTTGCGCCCGTTGTGGCGCAATGCCCTTGAATCTATCGGAATTAAACTCTATTGCAGTATGTAAAAAGCGTCGATAGCCGCGCTCATGTTTAAACATCGGAAATAAATTAATTTCTAAAACAATAGTTCATATTCTCAAAAGTTACTTTAGTTGACGAAAAGAACGAAAACCAACTTAAGTTGAATGATCGACTAGTCGACGAATTTAACTAGTTGACCGACTAGTTGATCGTCGACGATATGGACAGTTGCGTTTCGTTAACGGAAAACGCGTCGACGACCCATCTCTACAATGTAATGTGATATTGCATTACTTTTCGAAGCACTGTTTTTTGCATGTCATGCAAAACAACCAGCCGTCCCAGAGAGATGGAAACAGTAACATGGCACACATTTAATCCAATACAATTCACAAAACACCCTATCAGTCTTACACTAATTTTATTGACAACTTGCTTGCGTGTTTTAGGATACCAGTAATGCCATCTGTTGGCAGTGTTCTGTACTAAAAGAGTAATGATGATATGGTTTGTGTAATAGGTTGTTTACGTTATAATACCTAATATTATACAAAAAGGGAAAATTGTGTATAATTATTAAAAAGACTTTATATCACACAGGTTAAGTGGACCACACGATTTTAAGTCTCCGTTATATCTTACCTTCAGTCCCCTGAGTACAGAGTTGGTAAGACGAGCTCCAGCGTACGCCATGGAGAGCGTGGCAGAGCCGCCGCCGGCCTTCGCTTTTACCACCTGTGAAGCGATCATAATAAAATATTATTTAAACAGTCTGTAATTGAATTGATGTGTTATGTAAACATATTTTGAGTGTCTGTTGTTAAACGTCATATTTTACTTAATTTTACATACACGTAGTATGTAAATTTTGCGATATAATCGTCAGCCCACAGCCGGGCACGGGTTTCCTCAAAGTTGGGAACTTCACACATCTTCCAGTGGTCTTCTTTTCAACAGGATGTTTTCCTTCGTCTTTAACGACAGGTATTAAAGTCATGCCGTGACTGGAATTCGAACCGTAGATCTCTTAATTGAGAACCAACCTGTTCTCCTACTTAGCTACCGCCGCTCATTTGTACTTAAGCAAGTATGCAAGCAAGTTCTTTTTTTGTTATTTTTACCTGCCCAGCACATTCTTTGAGGAAATAGGGGGAGACAGACCAGACACACATGCTCTATCAAACACATACATATACGACAATTTATATCAGTAATTTGTAGTTAGTATGAACTTTATTTTTAATGTACCAATTTAATTTATTTTTCTACCCAATGTTGTAACCATAATATCATATATTTTGTATCCTTAATGAGTTTCTGTAATTGCCTCTTGTACTGCTTAAACACATTTGTCAAATAAGTTTAAAAATGCTGTTGATATTTTTTTAATTATAGGAAATGAAACTATTTTTCCGAATTTAAATCGCGTATAATAATCACGGTGGTCAACCGTGACAATGGGACTTGTAAAGGGCCCGAAACGTTGGTTACTTTGAAAAAAAAAAAAAAAAAACAAATATACGCGATTTAAATCCGGAAAAATAGTTTCATTACCTATGTATAACAATCGCGAAAACCTAAGAACTTGATAAAATAAAAATTAATTTCTGCAATACAAATGTCGTAAAGTATAAAAGGAGTTCTACAAAGTAGTTTTTATGTTGCGAGCTTCTTCTTATTTAGACCTTATTAGACGTAAGGTTCTCGCTGATTTTTGTCAAGGTTGCGCCTGACGTACAGGAAAGTGCACCCGCAGTTGCATACAAAAATAATCTAAATAGTGGGTTCGACAATTTTAAAGCATAAAATAAGTTGTGATTTTGTGTCCCGCTGGAAAAATGTCTGTTTTAAATATACGATAAATTCTAATCTGACGTGATGAGTGGCGCCTCTTTTAACACAGTTCTGGCAGAATACCAGCACCGTAGGAAACTGCGGCATTTATCCGCTTTTCACTGCCATGACTTCCAACATTATTTACTTTAGTTACTCATCTGTGTAGTTATACGTTCCTTTTCTTATAAATATTTGTTATTTTTAAGTGGTTCACAATAATAATTATTGTGTTAATTTTAGTGGATCCGAAGTAAATAAGCTGTCATGGAAGTGAATAAACTTTTTTATCTATCTAAATGATTTCCCGTATTGTACCTGGAAACCATAAATATATATTGTAATTACCTCAGTACCGGCTTCCTGAATCCTCTCTGTGAGCGCCTTGATCTTGCCCTGGTCCGTCAACTTGACCGCGGGCTGACTCTGGCTGAGCAACGG